ATCATGGGCAGAAACTGGTTCTGTTTGGAGGCAGGCAACTAACCATTGTTTCTAGCCAGCCCCAACATGCCTTGGACGGCTCTGCTCATGTTCAGAGTGCTGCAAGGGGAACTCCCCTCTTGTACCCCCATCGTTGTCAATAGCTCACATGGGTGAGGCACCTTCCTAGTCCCTGCTCCCCAAAAGCAGGAGAGGTGAGAGGCCGAGCTGCTGCTGCACTGAGTGGGAATCCTGTATTGACTGCAGCCCAGCCTCAGCCCAGAATCTATAGAGCTAGAACCGGCAGGGAGCCTGGAGTCCTGTTCCTCTACCCAACAGCTCACTCCCCAACATAGCTACAGAAGTGCTGCAGCAGCCAGGAGAGACCTGCCTCAAGGACCATCCATTAGGACCACTTGGTCTCTTTTGTCTGCTATTCCAAGGAGACCTCGGCCCTTCCCGCCATCTCCCTCTACATCCAGTGGCAGATTGTCTTTTCTTTCCCTCCTCACTTCTCCCACTGCTCTGTGCTTCCACTCAGCACAGCCTCAAACCTCTTAGGAACTACAGCCTCCCGGCATCTCTGAGGAAGGAAGGTTGTGTGGGAGCGAGGAGACTTGGGGCCAATTGCTAGCTCTGCCACAGCGTCACTGAGCAACCATGGGCAAGTCACATGATCTCACTGGGCCTCAGCTCCCAGAGCGGGATCCCGACCCAGCTCCCAACCTGCATGAGGCTCAGGTACTATAGCGACGATCGCCACAGAAGAGCCAATAAATACAAGATCTTTGCAGTTCTAGGGCTCCTGTGGCCTCCTCCGTTCTGTTGCTTCTCAGGGATTCCCAGAGAGAGAAGGCTTCCCAGCCACCCCAGCTGCAGGAAGGAGCCCGGTGTTCCCTCGTGCAGCCGCTAGTGATAATTGCACTTGCTCCCAGGCAGAACAATGCTCGTTTTATCATCAACAGTTTCTCCACTCTGACAACCTGCTTGTGAGGGGCTCTGACTGATTCACAGACAAAACAGCCGCTGGCACCATCGATTGCAAACGGGTCACCCAACCGACCACAATGGGCCCATTGTACTGGAGATGGACGCCGCTCAGTGGACAGGACGGTGCATCTGGAAGGTGCTTTTCACAGGTCCTGTTGAAGTCAAGAGGGAAACGCACACCCTTTAAAGCAGGAGAGGTTCCCAGGGATCTGGAACCTTCCCAGACAGTCTCCATTGTGACTGGATCTGGGGAAGCCAACACCTTAGGGAACCCTCCCTGAAGATGGGTGAACATGCACATCTTTGGCTGGGCTTCCCAGAGCAGATGTCATTCCCAGCACTAGCAATATCCCTTAGCATCGGGCATCATCCTGCTAGCTGGACTGAGCTGCAGGTGAGAGAGGAGTAGGGGATGCTCCAGACATTTTAGTGTAGGCAAGGTGTAGCATTAGAGCCTACAATGGGAACTGTGCACCAGCAGATGCCGAAGTTTCAAATCCCTGGATGGTGGAGTATTAAACTGTAATGATTTTGGCAGAAGCCCATTCCTCCCCACCTCTCCCCAGGCCTGCCCCCATCCCGAGTCATATGTCTCCTTCCTTCCTCCTTCCCAGCAGGGTTTCAATTCCGTTTGCAGTGCAACGATATGGAATTCAAATCCTTAAATCCCAGCAGTGTTACAAAACATGCCTTGTGTAAAACCCTTCATTCCTGCACCAGCCACTTAGCCAGAGCTCCCCTCAGAAACCGCCTTCAGAATAAGAGCCTGGCTAAGATCGAGTGGTTCTCAATGGGCCCTTGTATTCACTTACCTTGTTCCCAAGGATGAAGTGTCCTTCAAGGGGAAGTTAGACCCTCCTCTTATTAAAGAGAGAAGAGATTTTGTCCACAGCAGCACTAGCTGTGAAAGGACCTGGAGATATGGAAAGATGCAGAGTCCTTAGCATGAATTAATACAAAGCTGGCTAGCAACCCAAGGAGAAGGCTTCCATCTTTGTTAGCATTCACCCACTGGCTAACAGAACCCTCTGACTGGGTGCCAGGGCTTTGAGTTCGGTGTTCAAGTGCGACTATCATACCATTCTCACGTCAGCTGGGGGAGGGGGGAAGAGCCTGAGGGATGCCCAGTGATCACTGAAATCAAGTCCCCCATATAAAAGGCTGATTTGGCAAGAGTCCTCACGTTCAGCTCTGGGAATTATGTGGGAAAGAGAGGTCAGGTGGGAGATCTCTGAGCTCCATTGGAATTTCATCCTCAGAAATCTCCTGGCTATGGAGCAGATACTGAAGAACTGCCAATAGGACATGACCAGGGACTGTTGCCCCTTACTAACATTCAGTGGGGGTGTTTTGGTTGGCTAGCTCCCAGCACTAAAAGGGGAGGGGTCGATGGCAAATCAGGACCCTGAGACTGACAGTCCCCGGGAACAATGGCGAGAGGCCAATGCTTCAGGTCAGCCTGATTGACAGGGCAGGCAGGCTAATCAGCGAGACAGGAGGCCAGGGTGGGTCCCGTCCTCCATGTGAGTTGGAATTGCCTGGGTCAGACTGAGTGGGTCCGAGCTAAGGAGAAAGCAGGGGCCCAAGCTAAGCTGGAGAGCAGAACCGTGCCAGATCCAGAGGGGCCAGAGGTGCAGCCACAGAGCCAGAGACGCAACCCAGGGAGAGCAGATCCTGTGCTGGGAGCAGAGCTGCAGCCACAGAGCCAGGTGTGGTGAGCAAGTGGGGCCAGCCAAAGGGGGACCATGGGCAAAGGGCCCAGCACAGAAAGACACCCCTAGACAAGGGCCCTTGCAGGCCAGACCGGGACGGGGACCTTAACCTGACGGGGGGCTGACGCTGGGAAGAAGGGTCCCACCACTCAAAGCCCGGAGGTGTGTGGCCACCACCATTGTAAGTGTCCAACCCGCAGCATACCTGCAGCACACCCAGGGCCTGAGAAGGAAATCTGGGATCTACAAGGAACAGACTGCGAAGTGCCTTGATGTCCAGAGACACTGTTTGTGATGTTCCCTGCCACAGAGCGGGGTGATGTGTTTTCCTTTAACCTTTCCCATTTTTCCTTATTCTTTTCTTTAGATTAATTGTTAATTAAACAACTTGTATTTGCTTTAAATGGTATGGAATAATCAGTGGGTCAGGGAGGTGCCCAGTGCAGAGAGGGTACCCCAGAGTGGGGACACCCTAGCCCCTGTCCTAGGTGACCACAGCAGGGTTGGGGGTTGAGCCCCCCAGGAATCCTGGGCCCAGCCTTGTTGGGGTTACGAGGACTCTGCCAGACAGGAGAGTGGAAGGGGAGCCCTCAAGGGCAGGGAGGCCTCTGGGTAAAGGGAGTGGGAGCGAGGACTCAGATCCTTTCGCTAGCCCACTTCACCGGGGTAGTGCAGAAGCCAGGAAAGTTCCCCACAATACTGGGACCATTCCCCCGCTTACACATAGCAGTCTGGAATTCAGTCAGCTCCAGAATGCACCCGACAGCTTTTGACATGGGCCAGAAACATTATGGGCATGTTAGTGAACTGTCCTTGGGAAAGTCCATTTTGGAGTGAAGGTCAAACCAGAATCAGCCTCATTTTACAGTAAGATCTTGGTGGGTCTTGGAGTTCTTGGTCAATGTAGCTGGCTGGTGAGTCTGACAACACAAGAAAAAGGAGGGCCCACCCCATCACAGCTAAAAACTGAAGCTTGGTGCATGGGAGAGGGAACCCATTGCAGCCCAAAAACACAAGAAACCAGGAGGCCCTTTTAGAAGTGAACAAGTCCGAGAGGGTTACCTTTGTCCAACTGAACACAGGGGATGAAGAGGCGCCATTGTCCAGCCTACCCTGGGCCCAAAGCCTCCCTGAAGTCAGCTGAGTTACCCAAGCAAGGAATCTGGGCCCTTCCCTCTTCATATTTCTACACATTTAGAAGAGGTTCCAAAGTCCTTTTTTTAGTGGACTGATTTCAGGTTCCAAAGGTTACTACTAAGAGCCTTCACCTGAGATCCCCAGGTACAAGCTGGTCCCTGGGGCAGAGTGTAATGACCTGGGTGATCTCTCTTTATTCAGTTGCGGTTAGATTGCCTCCTGTGGGGAATGTTACCGTCTTGCCTTTGGCAATGAACATCATTAAAGGCTGCCTCTGTTCCAAGTCTATAGTTGTATCACAGAGGCATTGTGCACCAAGACTGGGATGTTTGGTAATTACTAACTCGGTGCCGACACTGTAATGTTCCATAGCGAGGGGGAAGGGTTGCATCCACAGTTCATTCTCTACGTTTGCATCAGGGTAATTTACAAATTCTAACCACATTTTAATTTAAAAAAAGAAACAAACACCACAGAACAGCTGTGTATTGCTCATCCTCACTGGCAGACACACAGCGGCCCAGCCAAGGCCTCAGGGTGGGATAGTAGGGGAGTGGGGGTGATGTAGGTGAGGTGCATTGGCAGAGCTGTGCATGTGGGAACCCGTGCTGGACCAGCAAGGGGGTGCAGGTCGGGGTGGAGGAGCAGTAGAGCTGTGTGGGGTGGGCTGCCCAGGACCTCCATGCACTCTGCCTAGTTCTGTTCCCTGGGGCCAGCTTCTCACGCTTTCCTGACCAAATTCACTCACAAATTCTAACAGCTAATGCATCTGTGAGCCCAAGGGCAGGGCTTGGGAGCAACCTGGCGATTGCCTTTATCCCTGAACACCTGGGTGGGAGCAGGGATGAGCTAGAGAATGGAGGACAGAGACATACCCAGGGCCCTGCCCTCTCTCCATCCTTCCCACCCAGCCCCCTTAGCCTCCATTCAGCAATCGCTGCCATGGACCCATGTCTCGCTGCATTAGAGGACACAGAGGGAGTTTTTGCAGGAGCGGGGAGTGGCACTCTGCCCACTTCCTCTGCCCCCCACTCTCCTTTCCACCCTGCCGAACGCTAATGAGCAAGGCCCAGTTACACAATAAGAAGCTTTTATACTTCGCTAATCGGCCCAAGATCCCACTGGCTCCCCCCCTCTCTCCGCCCTCCTCCCCCGCCAGCCAAGAGGCCACTTGCTTCCCCCCTCCCACTCCTCGTCTGCCTTTTGTATTTTTTAATGGGGTCTCTTGCCTGTTTTGAGCGGACTTAATTAAAAAGCCGCTGTGAGTGATGCCTTGTGACGGCCTAATCCCAACCCGGTGACTCTACAAAGCTTTCGCCTGGGTTTCCCCCTGCTCCACTCCGGCCCTGCTCACTCCCTCGCTGTCTGTGTCAGGTCTCCGCTCCAGTGCCCCCCAACTGCACACGCTGACCCCTCCAGGACGGTTTGGTTTCTCGCGGCCCGGTAAGTATTCGGGACTCTGCGGCTCAGGCTCGTAGTAACAGAGATGTTAAACCAGGCCCCCTACCTGCTCCCGGGGGCCAGCCCAGGATCATTTCCTATTGGGCAGAACCAGTTCTCCAGGGCTTAGTCCAGTAGTTTGAAATGCCCTGAGCAAGACGGCTCACCTTCCTTCCCTTCCCAGCCTGATAGACAATGGGCAGGGGGAAAACACTGTAATGGACTGAGTGGCTTTGACCTAAACAGCTCTAGAGAGACTGGCTTCACTCACAGGAGGGACTGGGGGTCCTACAGGATGGAGAGCCCCATGCAGGGCTGCTGCCAACCTGCCAGTCTCCCTGCTGCAGTAGAAGCTACTCAAAGGAGCTTGGCGGAGACCTTTGTGTTTGCAGCTCATCCTCCCTGTTGTGTGTTGTCAAACAGCCACCTTTAGTGGCTGCCCATCTGGGCTGCTCACTAGTGCTTGAGTTACCTGCAGCTGCTCCTGGGAGCTTTGGGAACAGGGCATTTGGATTCTGAGGAGAGAAGGTCTGTTTGTCCATTCAGAACTCTCCCTGCTGGTTCTGCCCAGCCCATATGATAGCTTCAGTAACACCACCTCTGGTCCCGCTGTGGAAATGGATCTGGCTTTCCAAAGAGGACTTGAATGGCAAGTCAAGCAGAAACATCAACCCTCCTCCGGGAGAGAACAGGGAGATGGGCAACAGTCATAATGAAAGGAGTCCTACTGTCTGTGGGTGGAAGTTGATCAAGGAGAATTATTTTGTCTGATGCATTCAAACAGGATCCTTCACAGCTAGGATTTGGGCAATAAGGGGGAACAGATGCATCTGCCTGTCAGAGAATTGAGGAACCTCTACCTGAAAGAGTGGATCATGCGTGGAAGAGATGCTATGTTGGTTTGAGGTCCAAGCACAGAGCTGAGTGCAGGGCTCAGGACGGGAATAGCAAGGGGTTCTGTAGTTCAGGATCCAAGTGCATTGGCAGCACTGTGTAGGGTACCCCAGGACTGAAATACCTGCTTGTCAATAGGGGATGAAATGATTCCTAGACAGAGGGGCAAGTTCATCTCCCAGTTGTACTTGTGCAGCCCCATCGAAGTCAGGAAGTAGGTCCATAGTTTGGAAAGCACTCTGGGTCCTTTGGGATTAAGAGCTTGATAGAAAGAACGTATTGTTGCTCTTCATAAAACTTCAGACAGGTCTGGGGAGCTGCTCTCACATCAAAAGCATGAACTCAAGATACTGCCTCAGTTTACAATAGGGGGTTCTGTGCATTCCTCTTCATGTCCCTGCAAAGCCTCTTGCGGATCAGCTGTAACACTTGTATTAGAGAACGGGGAGCCATGGAGTCAAGTAGAGAATAAGAAGTGGGAAGGCACCTTCCTGGGAATTGACCAACCCTACTAGGCAACGCTGGCAGCACAAGACATTAGACTGACCATCCTAGAAAGACTCTTCTAGCTTTATGGAGGTACCACAGAGCTGCGTGAAACCTCCACCAGAAACCTATCTGGGACTATCTGACCTTCTTCTTAGCGTATGCACAATGTAGTTCAGTAGGCATGTAACCAGGATTCATCACCTAATTTGGTCCGCTGATTATATCATTAGCTTCCCCAGCCCAGGCCGGGTACTGACAGGGAGCAAGACATGAATGCTGATCTATGCCTCCAGTCTGACCTTCATCAGGTGCCTCTGGCTTAGAGTATTCCACAGCCTAAGTGACTCTCACCAGATCCTTTATGGACTGATTGCCAGACAAAATTCTCAGCTGGCTCTGTGCACTGGTACCAGCCATGCTGCATGAAATCCTTCCATCTGCTTCCTGACCACAATGGAACTAGGTGTTTCTGTCTTCCATGAATGAACAAGATGGAACCTGACCGACTGAGCTCATGGGGTCTGTGGTGATGCCTCCTTATTGCTTAGAATACAGTTTGCCAAAACCCCAGATAGGAGCTGTGAGTCCTCAGCATCCCTGAAAAATCAGTCCCAAGGAGTCTGAATAAAGACCCCCAAATTCCAAGGCTACTTTGGCAAACGTTAACCTTAATATTTATAAAACCGCTTGAGTTCCATGGACAGAAGGTGGCATTAATTATTATCTGAATTAAGTGAAGGGGGGAAGTGGGCATCTGATGGCAAATCCCATTTACATCCCATCTCCAGACAAATTCTTCACCCCTTCTCCTGTAGAGCTGGAGAGCAGGTGGGGTGAGCTCAGGCCAGGGCACAGCTTCCTGGCTGTTATCCAGGGCAGGTGTTGAGGCTGGGGAAAGCTTTAGAAATGCTTCCCCAGCTAGTGTTAATGTGGGATTCTTCCTTGTCTCTTTCAGTGTCCTGTGAACGATAAGGAAGCAGCATGTCTGCAATAGTGAGTACTTCCATTGTTCAGCTCTGCGTTGTCCCCTCCCGTGCACTAACCGGGAACTCGGGCCAAGAATGGGTCATTGCTCTCCGTTCACTCACAGAGCTGGGGAAAGCCAGCTGGGCTGTAAACATTCCTTATCCACAGTGCCAGGCCCAGGTGATGTGCACAGCAATCTGACTCCCCAGTTTCTCAGCCAGCTAGGTGGGGGGATCTCAGGTTGGCAGTCAGGTTGGATCAGCATTGATGTTAATGGGCACACACACACAAACTGATGCTGTTCTGAATGGTCAGGGCAGTGATCTAGTGGCTTGCCATGCAGGTCTTTACACAGTGTTCACTGCACCAATCGTGGCTGAATCCCAAGCTCACACGCAATAGAAGCTATGGGAATCATAGAATCACAGAATATCAGGGTTGGAAGGGACCTCGGGGGGTCATCTAGTCCAACCCCCTGTTCAAAGCAGGACAAATCCCCAACTAAACCCAGCCAGGGCTTTGTCAAGCCTGACCTTAAAAACCTCTAAGGAAGGAGATTCCACCACCTCCCTAGGTAACCCATTCCAGTGCTTCACCACCCTCCTAGTGAAAAAGTTTTTCCTAATATCCAACCTGAACCTCCCCCACTGCAACTTAAGACCATTACTCCTTGTTCTGTTACCTGCCACCACTGAGAACAGTCTAGATCCATCCTCTTTGGAACCCCCTTTCAAATAGTTGAAAGCAACTATCAAATCCCCCCTCATTCTTCTCTTCTGCAGACTAAAGAATCCCAGTTCCCTCAGCCTCTCCTCATAAGTCATGTGCTCCAGCCCCCTAGTCATTTTTTTTGCCCTCTGCTGGACTCTTTCCAATTTTTCCACATCCTTCTTGTAGTGTGGGGCCCAAAACTGGACACAGTACTCCAGATGAGGCCTCACCAATGTCGAATAGAGGGGAATGATCACGTCCCTCGATCTGCTGGCAGTGCCCCTACTTAGTGCAGTGGGGTGCAACATCGAGCAGGCTGGAAAAGTCCCACTGCCTGGCATCCTGCTGCAGTGACTGAATCAGATCCACTGTGTGAGAACACGCTGTCTGCCTAGGTGCCTTCCAGGCCCATTTCTTCTCCTACTTTACAGCCTACAGCTCCAGCCATCAGGAAGCTCAATTCCTTCCCCCACTTCCCTAATCACTTCTTCCATCCTCCTCTCCCCCACACTTCCTGAGTGTCACCAGCACCTTCTGTTTCTCAAGCTAACAGTCAGGCCCCCACCCCCGTTCTCCATAGAGCTGGAAGAGGACAGAAGGGGACACTTTTGGGCGGCAGCACTACCACATCTCTCATAGCTGGCCATGTGTGTTCTCTGAGCAGCTCCTGTGGCTCACAGGGAGACAGCAAGGACCATGTTTCCTCAGGGTTTTTTCAAAGGCACCCACAAAATCGCGCCGTGCCATTTGCCCGGGTGATCGCATGTGCCAATGGGGGATTTGTGTGCACAGAGTAAAGGCATTTGCCAATCTCACGGGCTTGAAGGCTTCTTTCAAATATAAACTAGATTTACTCTGTCAGCAGGAGCCAAAACACAGTGGCAGAGGGAACCTTCTCCCTGTCCAACCCTGACACAGGTCCCATTGCAACCTCTTTACCCATATAAACCAGAACCGAGCCCTGACACTTCTTACAGTCTGAGGGAGCCGTCCCCCTCCTGTCCCCAACACAGACCCCATTACCTCCCCCAGCCCGAGGGAGCCCTCCCCCTCCTGACCCCAACAGAGATGCCATTACCTCTCCCAGCTCGAGGGAACCCTTCCCCTTTTGATGCCATTACTTCCCCCAGCCTGAGGGAGCCCTCCCCCTCCTGACCCCAACACAGACCCCATTACCTCCCCCCGCCCGAGGAAGCCCCCCCACCCCACCCCACCGACTCCCATGGCGATCTTGTTACCTTTGCTGGATAAGTCAGCGCAGGGAGCTAGTGTCTCAGATGTTGCCCTGGGCACAGTAGGCATCTCTGCTCTCAGTGCTCCCTGCATGCACAGCCCCAGCCTGGGCCTGGAACAGGGAGGGCCAGGGCACTTCATAGGGCGAGCCTTGCGAGGCGTTCTCGTCTAGCTGTGGTTTTGCTTCCAGACTGGAACGTTCCGGATCGTCTCCGAGGAGGAGCAAGCCCTTCGCACCAAACTTGAGCGACTCACCACTAAGGACCACGGCCCCGTCTTCGGAAAGTGTGACAAAGTCCCCCCACACACCATTCAGAAGGTGAGAGCCATGGTATGGGAGAGGGGCCAGGGGAAGCCAGGCCCACGGGGAGGTCACATACCAGGGGGTGGGGAGCAAGTGAGGGGGCAGGAGGTACCAAGGAGATGGGAACAGGACGGTTTCTTCTTTGAACCATCTGAGACTGAGCCTCTGCCCTGCTCATTGTCGCCTCTCTATCAATGTTCCCAGCCCCACATTGCTCCCATTACTCAGACAAGACCCTGGTCATTCCCCACCTCCACGCGTGCTGCTGACCATGCTGGCCACTAGATGCCACTGAGCACCCAGCCGGGGCAGAATGCCTTTCCCCGGCTGGCCGGGCTCTATACAATATATTTGCATGGCTGCCTCTTCCTCTGGGGCTTGTACTCCACCCCTCTGCCACTTGGCTGCCTGCTAATGAGGCTCCCCCGGCTCCTTGCCAGGAGCCCCTGCTGGCTAGCAGGGCGCAGGGAGAGATGGTTGTCTGGGGAGGTGATTTAACCCCATCCCTGCCAGGGCATGCATGCAACCCCTTTGCTGTGTTTCTGAGGGAGCGTGAAAAGACTGTCCCCCCACAAATGAACCATCTGGTAGTGAGAGAAGAGGAGACAAGTGTACGGGGGAGGCAGGTGGCTAAGTCTCAGCCACAAGGAGGCAGAGAGGAGGTGTGATAGAGGAGGGGGATAAGGCTTAGTTGTGGGGCGTAGGATGTGTCCCCTCCAGCAAAGTGAGGAAGGGGATTAATCTGCTCTGATCTCAGAGGAAATCCCTCCAATGGATCCTTTGTCTGAGGGAGCAGCTCTAGAAGCTTCCTCACAGGAGCCTCATTTAAGGATGAGAGATGGGACACCAAGCCCCCACAGTGACACCGGCACAGCTGCTCCCCTCCGTAATCTGGGACTCGAGGAGTGATGTGGCCAACAGGTCACAGGCCAGCTCACAGAGAACAGGCCAGGCGATGACATGGAATCTGCCAAGCAAGGCAGAGAGACTGTCCCAAATCCTCCATCCCAGAGCAGAGCCAAGGTCTGCAGGACTGGAAAGCAACACTGTTCTAACCAGTGAGGGGTAACACAGGGGTAACAAATGGAGAGCAGGCATCTTTGCGCCCCTCGAGGGGATCTGACAATGCTCAAGAAAGGCAAGTAGCGAGAGCGGGGGCTGGGGGGGGGGGGAGGACAAGGCAGGCTGGAGGGGCATCCACAGAGCGGGGTGGAGCCCCAAGACTGGGATAGCAGAGATGTGGGGCTGCGAGGGTGCTTTAAGGCAGGACTGAGGTGCCATGGAAACCCCTTAGCTAGATTAGGTTAATCAGAAGGGCATTCAAAGAGCAGTGAGGGGAGGGTCTGCACAGCCTGACTGCTCTGCCTAGCTGCAGCCAGTTATCCATTTCATGAGCAGTAACTTAGCCCCTCACTAGTGTCAAACCTAAAACTGCCCCTTGGTGCTCTGGCATCCTAAGCTATCTCCTCTTGCAGCTGCTGCTAATGCAGGTGATGAGTCAGTCCCTCATGGGAGGCTTGGAGGCCAGGGCACTGAGAGAGCCCCTGAGCCTAGGGTGACTGCACAGGCTGGCAGGCCTTGTCTCTCCTGCAGTTGAAGCGGGAGAGTCTGGGGGCCAGTAAAGCAGCAGCAAATGGCACATAAAGTCACGAGCAGGGGCCTGCGCTTCGGGGGCAGGAGGCCCTGTGTTCTGGCTGTGCAGTCATGGGTCCAGGCGCCTCTCTCCCTCGAAGTACTGCTACTGCTGAATCAGGCACGGGTTTCCTTCCACCCTGCCCTAGGCAAAGGACGAGCTGAACGAGACAGAGGAGAAGCGGGAGTCGGCCGTGAAGGAGCTCCGGGAGCTGGTGCGTGAGAGAGCCAGCGGGAGCGAGGACGTGTGCAAGGCCGTGGCAGAGAAGGTGAAAGGAAAGGATGACTCCTTTTTCCTTCGCTTCATCCGCGCCCGCAAGTTCGACGTCAACAGAGCTTATGAGCTACTAAAAGGTGGAGCACTCCCTTCCTCTCCACTAACCTTCCCTAGTCCCCAAGCTGGGGGCCAGGGCACTCCCCACTCCTGGGGGCAGATCCATATCCTCCTTGCATCAACAGTAGTCCATGTCCCACCCCCAGGCCTGCTGTCAAGACAGACATAGGGCTCCATGCAGCATCCATCCCCACCGTCTTACACCCTGCGGAGTGGGGCTGATGTCCCGCAACCTCTCTGGATGATGGGGGGTGGGGGTGGACCCTGGAGCCATTTGCCCCAGTGTATCCAGCTGCTGCTAGGGTCCAGGTGTAAGAATGATGTAAGGGGAGAGGATAAGAGGTGGGCTAAAGGACTGGAGGTTGTGGGACAAGCAAATGATGCCAGAGGGGCAGGTGGGGCCAGTGCGGGGCAGGCAGGAACAGTGAGAAGCTCAGCTCCTCTGGAAGCTCTTATCCTAGGATTCCAATAGGCAGTGGCAACTGAAGCATCTGTGTGTGCTGACCTGGCCGAGGCAGGTTGGGCTGGAGGGAAGGGGGAGATGAAAGGTGGCCCCAGACTGAGGTGGCCACAAAGGCCTTGGCTGTGGCTCCAGGCTTCTTTGTTTCTGTGTCTGGGATAACGAGGCTGTAATTAGTGGCAGTGGATTGGAAGATGAGCAGAAGCTGCTGGCAAGGGAGGCATTTTGTCCGTTGGCATTTTCCCAGGGTGAGTTTCCTCATTTCGTGCCTGAGAGTCTTTAATGGCTACAGGATGCCAGGGAAAGTGGGGCTGGGGGTGGGGCTGCCCATAGGAGAGTGCAGCGAGTCACCCAGCAGAGGAGGAACGAAATAACATACACCATCAAAATCACTGATCAAGCTCCCGAGACTGAGGGGGGACATGGGAGTGTCAGCTGGGGCTCTCGAGATGAGGAGGGGTAATATGGTGCCAGGGAAGGACAACTGTGGCTCGAAGTTGGGGAGAGCTGTGATGTGCCAGGCAGGAGCAGGTTTTTAGCTGTGCTGGTCCCAAACCGGGTACCAAGCAGGAAAGAAGGGTAATGTTCTGTGCTGGGTGGTACTTCTGGTGTGTGGCACTGCCCTGACCCCAGCTAGCAGATTCCCCTTGGGATAGGGCTTTGCCCTGTGGAGTACCATTCACTTGTGCAGCTAGTTTTAGGGTGTCCCAACCTCTTGTGGCTGACCTGAACCAGGCCTGACCGGAGCTCTGGGCATGGGCCTTTGTGCAGTCCAAAGCCACACCTTATTCTGTAGTAGGAACACACCAGATCCAGCACCAGCTAGATCCAGACTCCCTGGCCCTTCACTTATCGCAGTGCAAGCTCCTTGGGTGCAGGGGTAGTTCAGTGGTTTGAGCATTGGCCTGTTAAACCCAGGGTTGTGAGTTCAATCCTTGAGAGGGCCACTTAGGGATCTGGAGCAAAATCAGTACTTGGTCACTGCTAGTGAAGGCAGGGGGCTGGACTCAATGACCTTTCAAGGTCCCTTCCACCTTTAGGAGATAGGATATCTCCATATATAAACGGGGAGGGATCGCTCAATGGTTTGAGCATTGGCCTGCTAAACCCAGGGTTGTGAGTTCAATCCTTGAGGGGACCATTTAGGGAACCGGGGTAAAAATCTGTCTGGGGATTGGCCCTTTTTTAAGCAGGGGGTTGGATTAGATGACCTGCTGAGGTCCCTTCCAACCCTGATATTCTATGATTCCCAAGCCTGGCGCTGACATTGGGGAAAGGAATTTGTTCTCGTCCCAGACCTTGCATACTCTCTCTCTCTCGCTGACTCCAGGCTATGTAAACTTCCGTCAGCAGTACCCAGAGCTCTTCGATAACCTGACGCCCGAGGCCGTGCGCAGCACCATCGAGGCCGGCTACCCCGGCATCCTGGCCAGCAGGGACAAATACGGCCGAGTGGTGATGCTCTTCAACATTGAGAACTGGGACTACGAGGAGATCACCTTTGATGAGGTCAGCTCCACCATGCTGCTCCGATATGTCAGAGCTCCACTCCCAGGGCTGTCCGACCCTGGGCTCCTCTTTCCCTCAGTATTAGAGCAGGGGGCCCACCGCTCCAACTCTGGGCATCGAGGTCTAAGCAAAGCTCTTTCCCCCAAGCTTGATGTTAATAAGTAAGTAATATCTCTGCTTGCATGGATAGAGCACATTCCAGCCAAAGGGAACCCTGAACACAGGCCATGAAAAGTGGGTCTCACAGTGCTAACAACACTTAGAATTCAGATAGCACGTTTCATCAGCAGAGCTGAGAGTACTTTACAAAGCAAGGTCACTATCGCTATCCCCATTATACAGAGAGGGGAAGGGACCTGCCTAAGCACACTCAGCAGGTGAGACGAGTCTGTGCTGGTGTAACTTACATGTTCTCTTGACCCGTCTTGATTCATATGGTACCCCATTGTATATATGGGAATTGCTCATGCAGCACTGAAATGCACCAGCCTCTAGTGTGGAATAGGGCAGCTGTTTAACAGCACATAGCAACACCACATAATGTGGATAAGAAGTAAGGAAGAAACCAGGAGAATTCAGGCAGGCAGAATATAATTGGCGGAGCTGGAACTTGAACAGGGTGCTGGGGGTAACACTCTGACTCTGGGGAAATCTGCTAGGGGATCCATAATGGCTGGACCTGGCCAGGCCCTTGCACTTGCATGTTAATGACCATTATCTCTCTTCCTCCGGCTCAGATTCTTCGCGCATATTGTGTTATCTTAGAGAAGCTGCTGGAGAATGAAGAGACCCAGATCAACGGACTCTGCATCATTGAGAACTTCAAGGGCTTCACCATGCAACAGGCGTCTGGCATCAAACCCTCCGAACTCAAGAAGATGGTGGATATGCTGCAGGTGAAGCTATCCTTCTGCTGCCCCCAAGTAGGCAACAAGAGGGGGATACAGGCTTAGGTTGTCCATAGGAGATGGGACTCAAAGCAGTGGCAAACCAACCCTGTGGAATCTGCAGGGCCATGAGGCATTCACCTGGCCCAGGGAGGGGATAAGCCAGGGATAACAGCACTAAGGTATTTTAGGTATAGAACATGCCTTTATGTAGATAGGCACTACTGTACTAGTAAGATCCATACTGGAGCGCTCATCATTCAGTACCGGCTCCCTACAAGGACTACACTGGGCAGCCAAGACTCGCTGGCTGATGCAAACATCCTTTCTGAAAACGTCACCTTGTAGAGAGAGGCTGAAGCCAGAAATGGTACCATAGTCATGGGTTCATTAGAAGTTCATAATTCCTGTGAAGATGCAGCTCCACCTAGCAGATGTGGCATTCCCTGGGCTGCTCTTTGCCCTGCTTGGCAGTGCAAGTGTGGTTGGCATCATTCTGCAAGACCATCTTCTCATGCCTTCAGCCCCACCAAAAAGTTACTTCTGAAAGTGAAGTCACCATCCCCTACAGTGTTCACTGGCTGATGTTATGTCACATGCACAAGGTCCATCCCCATCATTCTCCCACTTCAGACACTATTTGGGCCGGGCAATGATTCATACCCAGAATTTGGCTGATCCTGTGCTTTTGGAATAAGACCAAAGAGAGAGGGTTCCAGCAGCTCCTGCCAGGAGAACTAGATTGTAGAGAGGTATTTCTCCTGTGGACTGGGGACCATGAGTTGCCCTTGAGGGGCTACTGCTGCCTAGCAATGCCTTAGAACACAACTGGCTTTGCACATTGGCAGAACAGGATGCACAGTCCTCAGTAGTAGGGTCCTCAAGATGGATGCAAGAAGTGGGGTTTTAACAGGGAACGGGGTGATGGGAAAAGGAGAAGAGGAGGAAAAAAATAGCATCTCTGGTGACTTTTTCCATCTATGCCACCGCTGCCTTTCCCCACCTGGATGCTGCTTTTTTGGTATGCCCATCCTGCCCGTGTAACATTCTGTGTATGGATTTGGGATCTGCAGGACTCCTTCCCAGCTCGATTCAAGGCCGTTTACTTCATCCACCAGCCTTGGTATTTCACCACCACCTACAACGTGGTCAAACCTTTCCTGAAGAGCAAACTCCTGGAGCGGGTAAGTGTGGGGGAAGGGCCAGCATGAATTGTCCTTGCAGAGGCTGAGAGGGGTGGGGCAAGGGACCACAAAGGCTCTGATCCAAATCAGGACAAAGCAAAGAAAACCCAAGGGATCAGTTGCTTCTCTGCCCAATGGCTTCCCTGCTCCTGGTTGGACTCTGCTGGTGTCAGTCTGCCAGACAAGGAGAGAAATGCACAGTCACTGGCTAAATGGAGAAACCTGCTCAAACCTGGTTTATCAACCTCCAATTGAGCTGTAGTGTTGCCCGTAGTCAGGTTTTTACTGAGCTGAGCTCTTCCCAGCAATGCCAGAGCGCAGGAGCTGGCAGCTATGCACAGACAGGGCCCTGTAGGAAATGGGTCGAACATGGAGGGGCGTATGAAGTGGTAGGGGCATCCGCTCACTGCATTTGGCTCACCATGCCCAGATGGTTGACAGTGCTAAGAGCACCCCCGCTGCTGTTTCATTTGGGGACCAGCTGGGAAGATGAACTTGCAGTGCCCCCTAAGAGCTGTTTGGGCAGCTCATGGTTAGTCTGCTGAGGGCCTAAGCCAGCCAGCCACAGGTTCAGGCATCATCTGGCTTCCTCAGGGCTGGGGCATGCTGTCTAGGAGGATGTGCTCCCCTTTGTGTGTCTGAAAGCCCATGTGCACGTGACTGTGCTCAGCTCTGTGTCCCTCCTTCCTATCTCACTCCAGGTCTTTGTGCATGGGGAGGAGCTGGAGTCCTTCTACCAGGAGATCGATGCTGACATCCTGCCAGCAGATTTTGGTGGTAACCTGCCCAAATATGATGGCAAAGCTATTGCTGAGAAGCTTTTCGGGCCCCGGATCGAGGCCGAAGACACAGCTCTATAAAGCAGATCCCCTCCCTGCTTCTCCATACAATAGGACTAGAGATGGCCCTTTAACCCCCCCCTTACTGTAGCATTGATTGCATGACCGCTTGTGATGATAAACTCTGGGTGCGTACCTCCACCCATGCTCCTTACCCCTCCAAACTCCAGCAAGGCAGCAGGGTCTGCTGCCCTGAGTCTTGGGAAGGATCTTCTCTCTCCAGTTGTCCATCAGGGAAAGGAACCCATAAACAGTCTGTTCCATGGTACGCCATGAAACTGCTAAGAGAGGACAGGGCAGCAACTGAATGGGGAAGAGAGGCTCAGGCTGCTTGGAAGAGGCAATCAGAACTACCACTGCTTAGCCCCACCCCTCACCTGAACACTGGACCATAGCTTCTCCCCTGCTCGCCTCCAGCCTGGGTAGTGTAGTAGTTGCAAAGTGCATTTCCCTGTGCTTGCTGGCCTGGCTTGTGAGGGGGCGAGGCAGTGGGAAAGCAGATCTCCAAGGTCAGTATTTGCCCATCCACAGCAGCGTACTTGGAGGTCTCGCTAGTGACAGGTGACTACAGCTGAGGAAGGAGAACAGTGTGGCGGGAAAGCAGCAGGACAGCCCCCGGTAGTGGGGAGAGAGCGCCGAGCATCAGGTGCAACTGTGTGGATGACACAGCCAGAGTCCATCATTGCAGGAGAGCGCCAAGAAGTGCTGTTTGAAATATGTACACAAAGAAATAAAGTGCTCAGCAGCTGGGATGCTTTGGGTCCCTTTGCATTGGAGGGTCAGGGACTGCACATAAATGGGCCAATGGGCTGTCATTGATGGCCAGGAAGAGGCTAGATGCACTGGCGTTTCTGAGGGTTGATGAAAGGTTGTGCCCAGGAGAGGATGCAGACCACAGTGCACCTTCCTCCTACAATGCCAGGGGAGCTGGTGCAGCAGAAGGGACACAAGTTGCATCAGGAACAGCCAGTGGAAGGTCCTTGATGTTAGCCCCCCCACCAGTGATGCTGACAGCCCTTCTCCCTGGAGAGGCCAAGGCCGGAATGTGCCCTGGAGCCCGAGCTCCCTATTCTCCCTTCTCCAAGGGTCAGGCTCCCTCCTGGCTGCTGTCCATGCTGGGAACGCCCAGCCCCTTTCTCTAGCACGAAAAGCTTGGCTTGGGCTATGTGCAAACACAAAAGGCCTAGCAGGACCTGGGGAGAGGGGCTTCCTCCCTCTGCCCCAGGGCATGTTGGGTGAGGCAGGCGGTGGAACGGCATCTCCAAAGCAGGTGGTGGCTGCACGGTTAAGGCTAGTGATACTGCACTCAGTGGCCCTGAGGGCTCCCCACTCCATAGAGCAGCAATGTCAGCAAAGCACGGGGGTTTTGGTCAGGCTGGAAAGCAATGAGCTTCACACTCTGAGGATGCCTCTCTCCTCCCAGCATTGCAGCAGAGCAATGATCTGTGCAAGTCAGGAAGTGGCTGAGGTTGGGTAAAGAGCAACTGAGGGGTGACCCCCCTCCCCGCAGGTGCTGGCTTATTCCCTGATCGAAGGAGGGAAGCAACTATTTGGAGGGGGCAAGAAAGGGGGTGGTGCTGTCGCTTCCGCCCTCAGCCGAGGGTAGTTCGAGCCAAAGGAAGGGATGCTGTTAGGCTTGTTTTATAAAGCAAAGCAGCCCAGACCGGATCACATTAAATGAGCTCACTCCGGGAGGACAGCAGACTACTAAGAGTCTTAATCATGGGCCCTTTGACTGCATTGGCCTCCAGGCAACAGGCACAAGAGGAGCCCAGAGAGACTCGTGGCTTGGAGAAAAGCTAATTTCCCTCTGTCCCAAGACTTCATAGTCACCCTCGACCAGTTACGCTGCGGCTGTAGCCCCATCCCTCTCTCCTCCTCCCCCCCCCCCCCCCCGCCCCAATTCTCAGCTCTCCAGCTACACACCAGTACCCTTAATTTGCAAAGTAAAATAGCAGGGGCCCATCTGAAATGGTTGGAGATGGAGGATGCCGACAAGGGGTGCATTCATCAGGGCACTGGCTCAGACTCAAACCAAACAGGATGTCTGCTCTGAAGCTGCAGGGAGGATGGGGCCTGTCTGAATAGCGAGGGCTGGGGCTACATCAGCCTTCCCCAGCAACAGCACCCGTTCTCCCTGCACATCAGTGCATGCAAGCTCCAGACCTGCCGCAGGATCAGGGGGTGATGGGGCAATGGTCAATGACTTGGTTCTGTGTTATTTTACCGAGACCCAGTTTGCATTACAGGATCACTCCTGCTAGGGTTTAGTACAACCCAAAACTCTGCTGGGGCGGCCAGGAGCAGGCAGGTGAGACGCCACTACTCCCCTTTCAATTTGCATCAACCAGTTCATTGTGGGGATTAGTATCTGCAGCAATCTCAAGGATATTGTGCCACATGGTCATACAGTCAGCAACCTGTGGCAGAGCACAAGCCAGTGATACTGCAACATGGGCCCCTTGCAGGGGGCGGGGAGGGGCCTCCCCACAAAGCAGGTACAGAGCTCATAACGTGCCCATCGGCAGAGGATTCAACAGCCTGAAGGTAGCAGGTCCTTTGGCTCTTAGCTAGGACGCCGCCCCCATTTCAAGGCCTCTCGCCCTGCAGCATTTGGGAAGTTGACTAAGGCTGTTCACATCTCCTTTCAGCTGAATGACTAGATTACCTCGGAAGCCTCAGCGCAGCAAAGGGAAACAATCCCATGGGGGCTGGGATTAAGCCAGGCACTAGAATCAGACTGGTCAGTGCATTGCTCTCAGAGGAGCTCTGCCCAAAGCAGGAAAGGATTTGAGCTGTAGCAGACACTGTGAGCGAGAGCAATTTTGTTGGAGAGTTGAAAGGTTCTCACTCGAGAGAGGTCACAACACTCCTCTTCTGGCCCAATACAATTCATTGTACAAGGGGCCATCTAAAGCCTAGTCAAGAGGCAGGCAATGAGGGCACTTCCCCGCCCCACCTGTCACTTACACACCCCGCAAGACACTTTGGAGACCTGCTGCACAGCCAGCAGCCTATTGCAGGGAAAGGAGACAGGATCAACTAGCCACCTTGGTCTGAGTGAAGGAAACACAGGAAGGCATTTTGGGCCAACAAATGAAGGGGGCTCGGGCTGGTTTTGGCAGTGCTTTGCTATACACGAGGCTCAGCCAACAGGTGGTTAACTCTTCAGAGGTGTCGTTTCCCAAACATTCAGGCTACCGTAGCGATTAGGAGACTGGATTTATTTCCAGCGCCTAACAAGTTAAGACACCTCTGCCTTCTCGCTCTCTCTTCGCCACTTTCAGACAGGCTGATTTAAGAGCCAGCAGCCCCGCCGTCTGGTCTGAGAGGAGCTAGCGTGGTTCCAAGCTGAAGGAAAGGGGTTGATGTGCCAACATTCACATTTTTGGATGGCGTAGAAAGCAGCAGCCATGTAGGGACTCATTCCCCACTCCTGCCTACTCTTTCCAAACCGTCTTCTCTCCACAAAGAAACTCCCAGCCATCCTCCGAGTGGGGGGGGGAAGGAGCAGGCAGGAGAACACGGAAAGGGGATACAGAATAAACTGGGCAAAAGATGACCCAGCAAGATACATACATTAACCAGAACTTGACACACCAAGGAGAACAGATACATGGTATACTACCAGGGCAGGACTGCAGCGTCCAACAGCAGAACACTCCCAGCCACAGCTTAAGATGTGTTGTTCCTTCCAGACAGGACAACTTTGGCCGATAGAGCACACAGAATTTCCCCTTATGGAGCATGTGGGGATTAACACAGGATTATTTAATGTTTTAGGCATAGCTTTTCATGGTGCAGAAGGAGCGGAAAGTACTTCTGGAAAGCCAGGCCCTATGAATTCTAAGCTTTCCAAGGAGACACTAGTCCAGGGGTCGGCAACCTTTCAGAAGTGGTGTGCCGAGTCTTCATTTATTCACTCTCATTTAAGGTTTCGCGTGCCAGTAATACATGTTAACGTTTTTAGAAGGTCTCTTTCTATAAGTCTAGAATATATAACTAAACGATTGTTGTATGTAAAGTAAATAAGGGTTTTAAAATGTTTAAGAAGCTTCATTTAAAATTAAGTTAAAATGCAGAGCCCCCCGGACCGATGGCCAGGACCCAAGCAGTGTGAGTGCCACTGAAAATCAGCTTGCGTGCCACACGTGCCATAGGTTGCCTACCCCTGCACTAGTCTATACTGCCCTCCAAACCCCCACTCCAGTGCTATGTCCTGCATAGATGTAGGTGTGGGCTGGTCAGGTTGCACAGGACAGATGAGTAGTGCATGTATGTCCCTGGTAGGTGGGACAAGGGCAACATGCCCAAGGGCAGGATATCAAGTGGCTGAAGGCAGCTTAGGCCAGGTTATGCAAGTCATGGCAGTGGCCAGTGGGAAGAGACTGTGCAGTGAGAGAGAGGGGCATTGTACTGTATCAGAGGCAGGGACCACTGGGAATGCCCAGTGGCTGAGTCTGCAGACTGGCAAAGAAGAAGCAGGACCATATAGCCAGAAGAGTGTGCTAAAGTACTGCCAATGCTAAGCTCCAGAAGACCGATTGGGACGAGGGTGCCTGGGCCAGTGTTCAGTTGCCAGACAAGGTGGAGGGCACTTGCCCTGACTCCAAGGTGGGCACAGCCTAATCCAGGAGTCAGTCATGTGTGAGAAACTGGAATCTTTGATATTAGGCAGATAGCTTCTCTGTGGGTAGGCGAGGTACCAATGGCCTTATCTACTGCCTGGAATTATTTCAAGCAGAATGAGAGGGCAGGTGGGCTGGTGCCACATCTGTACCTCAGCTGCCCCAGTGGAGGCAGATCTAAGCTGGGTAGCAGTGCTCTTCTGAGGAGCATCTGACACACTAGGGGAAGGAGAAGGGGACTACACAGCATAAGGAGCAGAATCAGGGTGCGCTCCAACAGACTGATAGGGATGAGGGTGCAAGTAGCGGCTTTTGAATGAGGGGTTCTAACCCTCAGCAGGGCTGCTTGGCTGTAGAGAGACAGCAGCCCAGGGCCGTTCAGTAGGCAGGACTATTGACCTACCTGAGTTTGTCTGCCTGCAATCCCTTTCATGTGGCAGGATGTCCGAGCACTGCCACCTCGCAGCAGGAGCTTTCTCTGTACTGCAGCTTCTTCAGACCTGAGCCAAGCCCTTTGCGCTGGACTAGCTTTGCAGTATGAGAGGAACATGGTGTGATAGATACCACCTTCCCCATTGCCAGAGTTCCCAAATGCACCACTCACTTCATGCATCAGTTGCTAATGAAATCCCACATGACAACTTCCCAGGACAAGGTACTCCCCCCCAAAGCAGTGGCAGTGCATGAAATCATTATCTCCCTCTGCAATTCTGTATTTTGTTCTGGTCACTTCATCGCAAAATTCAGCAGGAAAAGAAGGTACGGAGATGGGCAGTAAAATGATCAGAGGCTCGAATCAGGGTATAAGCCAACAAACCAACAGGAACGTGTAGGAACAAACTGCCCTCCCCCCCAGCTACTTAATGAAACCAGCCATTGTTGGTATTCTACCACTGGCTGCTGTTAGAAACCGGATATCTGATTAGGCAGACTGCTTGTCTGCTCCAATATAGTCATTTCCGTATGGCAAGGTAAGAAGGGTGGTACCCTAGAGCCCGGATCAGTCTGGAATTCAGAGTTTTGTAAAGAAATTTAGAATTTCCATGAACACCAGAGACCTCCTGAGAGGTGCGGGGAGAGGAAGGAAAGTAATATTTTAGAACAGAATTGAGGCATCTATGGAT